CCCCCCACACACAGAGTTCCCGCTAAGAGTAAGACCAGGTCGTCCTCTCCTTCGCTCTCCCCTGGGGTTTCCTGCCAGATCTCGTGCAGTATAACATTGGATGTCTGCTTCCTCCGACACGCCTGACATTCCTCCATCAATCACCCTCACACTGTGGCACTGTGTTTTTCTCACACTCACAGATGTTGAACACCCCCCGGGGAAGTGCCACTGATTGTTACAGTTACAGTGTCTTTAGGCCATTCACAAAGGGGGGACATTACTCGTTCAAGTGCAGTAGAAAATGGGCTGATTCATGTCACGCTCATAACTGTGCCTGATCTACAACAGGGAACTGCTGCTTTTTATTTCCTAATCCTTACTATTATCATTTTCCTCTACTTCTTTTGTATGTTTGTCACTCTCTTGTGACCTGCTATTTCTGGGGTGCCTTGATAGTTGAAGCAGACCTCGCGCTGTTGAAGCTAAAGAGGTGAGCAGAGTAAGTCTGATTCCCAGTAAAGACTTCTCTGTTGACACCCACCACTTGGCGCTCATATGACCTTATGCAGTTGCGAGAGCCGTAAAACCCTCTACTATAATTTTTTTTTAAAATAGATGTTGAACCAGCGTCTGTGATGCAGCGTTTTAAGGCACTCAGCCTTCGCTCGCATGCAGGAGACCTAAGTTTGATTCTAGAGCAGGGAGAAGAAATAATAATAATAATTGTCACCGAGTAACTGGGTCGTTCTTCTGTGAGGAGCGTTAGGGCACTCCGCCTTCGATCGCATGCAGGAGACCCGAGTTCGATCTCCGAGAAATAATAATAATAATTGTCACCGAGTAACTGGGTCGTTCTTCTGTGAGGAGCGTTAGGCCACTCCGCCTTCGCTCGCATGCGGGAGACCCGAGTTCGATCTCCGAGAAATAATAATAATAATTGTCACCGAGTAACTGGGTCGTTCTTCTGTGAGGAGCGTTAGGCCACTCCGCCTTCGCTCGCATGCGGGAGACCCGAGTTCGATCTCCGAGAAATAATAATAATAATTGTCACCGAGTAACTGGGTCGTTCTTCTGTGAGGAGCGTTAGGCCACTCCGCCTTCGCTCGCATGCGGGAGACCCGAGTTCGATCTCCGAGAAATAATAATAATAATTGTCATCGAGTAACTGGGTCGTTCTTGTTCTACTGGGATGTTGTATCCCTCTCATCCTGGGGTTGGCCCTAACAGGCACGGTCGGAAGCCCGCCTCCTAATAGGTGGTGGCCATTGAAGGTTCGGTTCAGTTTCTGGAGGCTTTAGTAGGCACTTTATAAATCAGGGATGCCAAATGATTTTTGAAAAAAACCCTGAAAATGAGCGGATCATCACGTCTCATGATCTCACCTAAGACGAACCTTGTAAAGGTATTAAATGAGCACACAAAAACACCTCTCTTACCTCTCCCCTTTACTCTGCAAGGGTTTGGGGACTTTGTTTCATCAATTCCAGTAATGTTATATCTGTCTTGAGAAGAAGGACCTTATGGTAGTGACTTGTTCTTCAGGGATGCCAAATGATTTAAAAAAAAAAAAAACCACACCTGAGATTTGGCATCCCTAATAAATAGACCAAGTGACCGAAGCGATCGCTCGACCCCGGGCTTTGAAAACAAACGGGTTTTTTGTTTTTGAAGACCATCATCCGTCCGTTTTATTGGGTTTCCCCATCCCAGGGAGGAAAACCCGACTAGCTACCCCCCCCCCACCCCACCTCAAACCGACAGAACCGAACAGATGATGCCAATGTACACCGTTTATACAGTCGCTTTTAAGGACAAGCGGGCTAACCCAGATTTCGGGGGTTTCCAGAAATCTTGACCTACACCAAAAGTGGGCATTGCCCTACCTATAGGATAGGAGAAGTTTGGTTTCATTGGTGTGTATATTTGTTTGGTTATAGAGAAAAGTTTCCTTGTCTTTTGAAGAAACTGAACAAGGGGCATAAACTTTACCTTCGATTTTCTCAGAACAGCATTTTTCGGGATAGCCCTCGGATCTTGTGTTTAATAAAAATCGACCATATAATTTATCTGTTCTAAATTGTATCAGTGGGAGCGTAAAAAAACACCTACATTACTTCTCCCTCCCTCCCCCTCATCCCGCCCCCCTCCCAGACGTGGTGGAGCTGTCTGACGAGCGGGGCGTGGTGAAGAACCTCCGGAGTTTCCCTCAGGAGTACGCCAAGGAATACCTCCGGGACAGAGAGACGCTCATCCTGCTGCGGGTGGACAGTGAGTGACTGTGTGTAACTATATATATTTCCATCTATGGACCCAAAGGCCATGTTTTTTTGCTCTAAAATCGTCAATATTCGACCTACGAATCTGAAATTTCTTGACTTTTCCTGATTTGACCCCCTGCCTGACCACCCCAAATTTTGTTACTCTCACGTGCATTGTTTACTCACCCCGGAATGCCTCCCCTGAATTTTGAGATTTATATCTTTGGGGTTCATTTGGACCCCCTAATAGATAGAGTGAAAATATGGTGAAACCACCAATTTCTTGCTTTGGAGTCTGGACTCCATAGCGATATCTACACAGCTGTCGCATTTTGGCTTTTGGTGTTGTAGAAACGTATTAATCCTGCTATAACAACTTGCTCTTTTTATCCATACAACGTGAATTCTAGAAATCAAAATGAATCTTCAAATCAGTGCTCTTTGAGAGACAGCTTTTGGTCCAGTTGTACACCAAGGTACTTGGGATAGTCCTCATGTTTGATGTTGGTTCCATTTCTTAAGGTTTACCTGACCTGCTGTAACCTTGTTTTTGAAGCTGAAGAGTCCAAAAACAGTCTTGTCTGTGTTGATCTCCATCTTCCATAGCTGGCAGTAGGACGAGATAGTAGTCAGGTCTTCGTTGATGGCTCGGTCCAGTGCTCTCGTGTCTTCCTTTGCTCCAGATGAGCAAGTCGTCAGCGTAGAGTGCTTTCTGACAGAAGATGACATCGGGCAACAGGAAGAGGGTACAGCTGAGTACTGACCCTTGTGGAAGGAATTCCTCGAGTGTCCTCTGTGAAGAAATTTTGTTGTAACATGATGTCTGGATAGTTCTGCAAGACAGAAAGTTCTTGATCCAGCTGTACATCCTTCCTGCTATCCCAAGCTTTTGCATTTTGAAGAACAGTCCCTGACTCCACGCACGGTCGTACGCCTGCCTCAGGTCGATGAAGAAGGTAACAAAATTGTCTTTATCTTGAAAGGCATCGCTGGTCTTCTGGGCAAATCTGATGAGGTGGTCCATAGTTCTTTCGCCTTTCCTGAATCCTGCCTGCGATGTGCTGATTGTGCCGGTGTTTTCCATCCACCAGTACAGTCTGTCGTTGACCATTCTCTCGACGACCTTACCCAGGCATGATGTTAAAGAGATTGGTCCATAGCTTGAAGGCTGGCTTGCTGGTTTGTCCTTCTTCAGTATATTATTGGTGTGATGTTTGCCGTCTTCCTTTCTGTTGGGAGCTGTCCCTTGTTCCGGGTCCTGTTGAAGAAGTCCAGGAGTATGGAGAGTCTGTCAGGTTGAGGATCATCTCATTGGTGATGTGGTCTGGTCCTGAGACCTTTCTCTTTTTACACTTTTTGAGGGCTGCCTTCAATTCCGTCAGAGTCAGAGTAAACTCCTTCTCAATAATCTCTAACACCTGAGTTCAGATTGCTCACGTCTTATTGCTCATTTGCCATTGCTTCATCATAGTTCCACTTTTTAAGATACAGTACAATCTTTATGAGGGAGGAAAACGTACCATCATTGCAATCAAGTGTATCAGGACCCACATAAAAATAAGTAGGCCTACTCTGGTCATCATTTACTTGAGGCTCCAGTCTAACAAAATCATGCAATTGTGGTGTTTGTTGTTGTTCAGTTGTTTGTAAAAAGTGCTAAAAAAAATGAAAATTAAACAATGGATAATTTGACAGACATAATAATGAAAAAACAATAGATAAAACATAAGGGGTCTTTTTGGACCCAACAGGTAAAAGTAGGTATTTTCCACTATCTGCCTTCTTCATGTCAGGGGGTCCGCTTGGACCCCAAGTGAGAGAAATAGGAGATTACCACTACAACTATTAGAAGTAAGGGGGTTTGCCTGGACCCCAAGTGACAACTACAACTCCTATCAGAAGTAAGGGGGTTTGCGTGGACCCCAAGTGACAACTACAACTATTAGAAGTAAGGGGGTTTGCCTGGACCCCAAGTGAGAGAAATAGGAATATTTAGGTAGGGTATGAAATAGGGTTAAGGTGTGTCCCATCCATCGTCACGTTCTTAGTCCTATTTCTACTTCTATTTTTCTATATCCTTTTGTCCTGTCCTTTGCCACAGCTCTTCATTTCTTATTCTATCCGGCCACTTAATTCTTAGAATACTCCTCATACATTGTTTGTCAATTGTTTCCCCAGATTTCCCCATGTCCGAAGAGAACGGGTCTTCGTCCAACAAAGCTGTGTACACACCTCTGCTGTCTAGTCTGATGAGTAACCCGGACTTCATTGGTGAGTTGTTGTTGTGAACACACCTCGGCTGTCTAGTCTGGTGAGTAACCCGGACTTCATTGGTGAGTTGTTGTAAGGCTGTGAACACACCTCGGCAGTCTAGTCTGATGAGTAACCCGGACTTCATCGGTCAGTTGTTTTTGCTACTGACCCCACGACACGGTGTTAGTTTTTCGTTCATTTCAACATGGAGGTTAAAGGGTATAATATTATGGTCGCTTTTAAGGACAAGTGGGCTAACCCGGATTTCAGGGATTTTCAGAAATCTTTACCTACACCAAAAGTGGGCATTACCCTACCTATAGAAGAAGTTTGGTTTCATAGGTGGGTATATTAAATTTGTTTGGTTATAGCTGAATGTTGTTGTGAGCGATTCAGTAGCATCTGAGTGTTAACTCTTCTGCATGATGCCATTCGGTAATAGCTGCATGTCTGTTCTAACTGTTGTCTGGAGGAGTAGAGGCAATTAGGTGTGTGGGGTAGCTTGGGAACAAAACATCCCCTTAAATCAGTTAGTTTTCTACAGAAGAACATATAATGTTCCACTGTCTCTGAAGGGTAGTCACATAGTGGGCAGGCAGCAGACTGCTTTACTCCAATTCGGTTGAGATGTTGGTTGAGGGGTAGGCTACATGTTGAGTTCTAAGTTGGAAGATTATGGATAAAGAAACTGAATAAGGGGCAAAAACTTTACCTTCGATTTTCTCAAAGCAGCATTTTTTCGGGATAGCCCCCTTGTGCTTAAAAGAGACCATATATATGCCTTGGTACTTGTTGGGAATCAAATCTTTTCTATATTTATGTTTTATATGTTGGTGTTTTTACATCCCCATCAACGCAATGTAGGTCGTTTAGAAGATGGGGTTCAGGGCCAACCCGGGCTGAGAGGGATACAACATCTCAGCAGATAGCCCAAAATACGTGCACCGTACTCAATAAAAATTCTTCCCACTTGGGAATCGAACTAGAGTCCCCTGGATGCTACATCACAGACACCGGTTCAGATCTCTTTGTGTCAATGATCTGTCAAAACTGACATACTCTTACGCCGGAGTCGTTTAATTAGATTTCTTTCTCTCCCAGACTGGGTCAGACATCCCGTTTGTTGCAATGAGATTTCTTTCTCTCCCGGACATCCCGTTTGTTACAATGAGAATTCTTTCTCTCCCAGACATCCCGTTTGTTACAATGAGATTTCTTTCTCTCCCAGACATCCCGTTTGTTACAATGAGATTTCTTTCTCTCCCAGACATCCCGTTTGTTGCAATGAGATTTCTCTCTCTCCCAGACATCCCGTTTGTTACAATGAGATTTCTTTCTCTCCCAGACATCCCGTTTGTTACAATGAGATTTCTTTCTCTCCCAGACTGGGTCAGACATCCCGTTTGTTACAATGAGATTTCTTTCTCTCCCAGACATGCCGCTTGTTACAATGAGATTTCTTTCTCTCCCAGACTGGGTCAGACATCTCGTTTGTTACAATGAGATTTCTTTCTCTCCCAGACATCCCGTTTGTTGCAATTATAAGAATACTTTCTCTCCCAGGGCATCCCGTTTGTTGCAATGAGATTTCTTTCTCTCCCAGACATCCTGAACCCACCCAAAGATGACGACACACTGTCAGAAATCTCCTCCAAATCCTCGCGCCGACGATCCTCCACGTTTGAGATCGACGACTTCCGGTCCACGAGGAGCAAGGGCAAGGTCAGCTCCACACACTCGGGGAAAAAGCCGGGCTCCAGGCGAGGGCAGAGGGCGCCTCTACGGAAAAGTGCCAATACCTCATCATAACTTCACCAATCAAGCGATAAACAATAATAAATGGGATGTGGAAATTTGCGCCTGATTTTTTTTCTGTTGGTATCGATTCTCTTTTACTTTTAGTAGTGCATTGGTATTATTATTAGATTGGTACCAAGTAATATGACTTTTGGTACCAAGTAATATATATGACTTTTGGTGGGCATTAAAGCTTGAACCTCTCCTCTTTGCCAAGTATTGAGACTGGCTTTTTTTTTTTTTTTTTGGGTCGAGGTTTTACGGCGCTTGCAACTGCATAAGGTCATATGAGCGCCAGAAGATTAGAGGTGTTACGAGAGAGTAACAAACATAAAAAAGAAGGAGGGGAGATAAGGTAGATAGATGTTTGATAGGAAAGAAGGAGAAAACCACACCAGAGCACCCGTCAACCACCCACAGCTTTTTTTCGCACTTATATTTTTTCTGAGGTCGTGTAAATCCAAAATCACAGGAAAGTCTCGGTACATTTGTACTTGTTTCTCCCACCAAGTAAAGTGTTTGTCTTGTCCTTAGATCCAGGTGAACAGAATTAATCCATTTAGTCACACCATGTACGCCTATTGGATCCCAACCAATAAAACCCGGGATAAATTTCTACACCCCTAATAAAAGTGAGAGATTTTTCTTTTTTGTTCCCTCACTTCCATACATGTCACATACATTTAGTTTTAGTAGAGGTTTTACGGCGCTCGCAACTGCATAAGGTCATATGAGTGCCAGAAGATTAGAGGTGTTACAAGAGAGTAACAAACATAAAAAAGATGAAGGGGAGATCAGGACGATAGATGTTTGATAGGAAAGAAGAAGCAAACCACACCAGAGCACCCACCAACCACCCACTCACATACATTGAACAGATTGTTTGTTTGTTTGAGTAAACAGAAGCACATCACAATAACGGTCATTTAGTGCAGGGAAAAGTAAGACAGACAGACAGACAGACAGACAGGCAGACAGAGAGACAGAAATAACAGGGAAAGTAAAGAAGTAGGACCTGCCAGTGACGCCCTCCAAACACCCGCTACACCGAACAGAATAAAACAATCCGAATCACAACAGTTGTGTTTGATTAAATTGAAACACAAACAGTTTATTCTGAAAACATTGTACAAAAAGAATATTGCTGGAATGACATGCAAAGCGAACATTTCCACTGTATAAGCTGGCGACGAGAAACTACAGGTCAGGCCCCTGTATTCTGTCTTTAAAAAAAACAAACAACCCCTAAGAGAAACTATAAGAAAGTCAGGCCCCTGTATTCTGTCTTAAAAAAACCCAAACAACCCCTAAGAGAAACTACAAGTCATGCCCCTGTATTCTGTCTTAAAAAAACCCAAACAACCCCTAAGAGAAACTACAAGTCAGGCCCCTGTATTCTGTCTTTAAAAAAAAACAAACAACCCCTTAGAGAAACTACAAGTCAGGCCCCTGTATTCTGTCTTAAAACCCCCCCAAAACAAACAACATCAAAAGAACCAATCTCATAGATCAAGTACCATTCACCACACATGACTTACCCACCACTTGTGAAAACTATCTACAGTCGGGCAGGGAGAACTCAACAAACACATCGAGGGATCGACAAATGTGGTCCACACATCCATAATTTGGGTAAACCGATATGACGAGAGATTGAAGAGATATCAGTCGGGGAATGGCAGATTGTACGAGCTATCCATGATTTTGAGTTTTCCCTGTTTGTTTCTATCCCTGCCCGACTGTGCAGTAGTACACGTTGTGTAGGATTACCAAATACACTCTAGCTTATAGCACCATTTGAGAGGATGAGATGCAAAACCCACTAAGTGACATTTTGAAAAAAATTGAGATTTTTTGCTTATAAATGCACATTGTTACCGGCTATCAGATGTACAGAGTGCTTTCGGCCAAAACCCAACACATACTTCATCAAAGCCACCAGAAAATCTTTTGACGCATGTTCGTGCGTACAGCAGCATTAAAAAAAGCTGATTTTTTCAAAAATGGATGTAGCGGGTTTCGCATCTCAGCCCCTCATTTGCTGAATTGGTCTTGTGAACACAAAGAGTGCAATGAAAGCAAGAGTATGGGGGGAGGGGGGGGGACAAAATGACGTGGAGAGAAAGATGGGGGGGAGACGAGGGACAAAATGACGTGGAGAGAAAGACTTGAGACATTCCAAGTAGAGCAAAAATAACGTCCTGAAAGAGTGGAGAAATACTGAAGCAGGGAAACAGCATGATCAACAAACGGAGATTTTTGAGATTTCATTTTACACATAACAAGGCCAAAGATAGAACCACTATAACACCGCTGAACACAAGCTTAACAGGATTCACTCGAGAGAAAAGATCTACAAGTTTACATCTACATCTATGTATATATATCATTGACAAACCCATAAGTAAAAACACATTTTTTTTGCAGTGACATTCAGAGAAAAATGTCGACCAAGTGAATTCAGTAATGAGTGAGGAAGGAAGCCAAAGAGCAGTGCAATTAACTAATATTCAAGGTAGATGAAAGCATCAATCTTTCGTAGCACAGTAAAAACAAAGGCAGTTTCAGAAAGATATAA